TCTATCTATCTATCTATCTATCTATCTATCTATCTATCTATCTATCTATCCATCTATCCATCTGTTCAATACAGCACTTCCTTTATATTTAGAGCTCCAAACTATATCGTGTACATTGAAATTCAGCTATATGAAGCATGTATAATGACTTTCCATGGGGAAAACCATCTTGTCACCCAATTCTGCACTAGGCCCATTTCTGCATGTCATTAGATTCTCACTCTCCAGCTCCTTGCCATATAACTATGGGAATATGCTTCTCCTGTGTAAAAATTCAGCACAAACATGTGTTTTGACCTGGCTTCCTCATGAGGTTTGTAGAATAAAGACTGAATTTTTCTTTACTCCTCAAAACACATTTGGGCATGGAAAAAAGAAGTGACCCCTGTAAGAATAGCCCCCATTGTATTTAGCAGTAAAGCAGCAGCGACTGCTTTTTAACACAGCACACCGGAGCAGGCTGATTTCACTCTCACATCTCTAATGATGCCCCGCGTGATGCCTGCCTCCAGTTTCTCAGCTATTTGTGCCACTGTTTTCACTCTGGCGATGAACTAGAGAAGCACACTTGAAGACAGACTATCAGAGCCCGAGATGAGGAAAATCAATTTCAAAGCCCCAAAGACAGCTGGTGCGGAAGGTCACTGAACACTAACAGTTGCTTTGTGGCTTCGGAATCATGACTGGAGGGGGATTCTATTTAACAACAACAGCAAGGGGACAGGAGCTACAGAGTTCTGGTGCTTCATTAACTTAGAATGCTGTGCAGCCGGCGACTGCAGAAATGGCAAAGATTACTCAATACGAAGCACAATGAAAGCTTGCTCTTTTGTCTCTGGAAATGGAAAGATCTGTTTCTTTACATTTCCGTCACCACCCTGTGTTCTGGTTTGTATTTTTAAATGGATTCTATGATGTATCTGTCTATGGGTCATGTCACAAATATAAAGTTAGTAGAGACAAAGACTGGATTTCCTCTTCTTTCTTGCTGTCCCCATTTCCTGTCTTCTTGGTCACCGCTTAGTAACTCTAGACTCTGGGGCTCTCTGAGGACCTCTGATAATTTCCACTTATTCTTCCTTCCTGCCTGCCCCCTTCCTTTATCCTGGGCATTCCAAGTGTCAGAGACGCTGCAGTCTTTTCTTTTTTTCTTTCTCTTTGTCCAAGTGTTTAAGTTCATTCTCTCTCCCTCCCTGTCCTGCTGTGTGTGTGTGTGTGTGTGTGTGCGTGTGCGTGTGCGTGTGTGTGTGTGCGCGCGCACGCACGCGCATAAGCCTGTGGTGATGTCCTATTCCTCTCCTCACCACCTTACTTTGAGAGACAGGGCCTTAGACCGGGTGGCCAGTCCATATTGCCCCCATGACACACCTACCCTCCACTCTCTGCCTCCCAGGGCTGGGATTATGGGTATGCAATACCACGCC